TGCTCCCTGCAGCCGTCCTGCTCCCTGCAGCCGTCCTGCTCCCTGCAGCCGTCCTGCTCCCTGCAGCCGTCCCGCTCCCTGCAGCCGTCCTGCTCCGGCTCGTCGTATTGAGGCGGCGTCAGCCTGGTCTACATGAAAGCAAAGCATTAAAAATAAACCTAAAACATAAAGATGTTTTTTACCAGCAGTTTGTCCTCTGCAGGCTCACCTCGCCCGGTGGATTGGCCTTCCTGCTAAACATGAGCGTATATGGAGCGAACTTGGTGGTCGGGTTGCTGGAGGTCCGGAAGAGGAAGAGGACCGGGTCCAGGAAGTCGTCCCAGTCCGCCTGCTTCTCCGCCACCATCTGCTCCACAGCCTCCTTCAGCAGCGGGCCGCTGCAGTCGTGCAGCGGGTTGAGCTGAGGCTGATCCAGGGCAGAAACCCTCTGCACCAGCTTCCACTTCTCATGCAGCACCTTTGACACCTAAAGAAAGGATTTAGCTTCCTCACAGCGAACCTGTCTGACGTAGGAGGAGTTCACAATCTCACCTCTTCACAGAATTCAGGCTTCTGGGCGCAAACCACCGTTTTAGTGGCTCCAAACCTGATGCAACAGCAGACTAGAGGTTAAAAACACTGAACGTGGAATAAAAAGCCCTAATAAACTAGAAAGAGTTGCTCTCACCTGTATATGCAGTTGGAGACGCACCTGGCCACCGACAGGGGGTCCACTGTTTGCACGGGGAAAGCCTCTGGCCATTTGCTAAAGTAATCGATGAATAGAACCACGCTTCTGTTCCCTCGCCGGGTTTCTGTGAACGGTCCTGTTGGAGAGAAAAGGACACTCAGCTCTTGGTCCTGCAGGAAATAATCACCTAAACTTCCAAACCCACCGATGAAATCAATGCCAACGATATCCCACGGTGCCTCCACTCTAGCGGGCCGGACAGTTCTGGCCAGGTTCTTGTTCCTCTCGGTTTGCCGACAGGTTTCACACACTTTGATCTAGAACAGCAGCGCCTCCGTTACCGGATGAGACCGTAGGGTTGAAGCAGCGGCGGGAAATGAGGCGGCCTTACCCACTCCACCACGTCCTTAACGATGCCGAGCCAGTAGAACCTGCTCTGGATCCGGTGGACGGTTTTCTTCTGGCCCAGATGACGGCCGACGTCACTCAGGTGGGAATCCAGGAAGATCTGCATCTTCCTCTTGGCCTCGATCACCACCTCCCGCTTCTCCTCCTTTTTGGGTCCGACGTAGAACAGCTTCCCCTCTGGGACGCACTCAGGAAGGAAGGAAGGAATGAGTGAGTGAAGGACGGCATGAAGGAAGGAAGGAAGGAATGAGTGAGTGA